CTATCCCTGGGAAAATCCTTGAAAAAATTATCAAGGAACACATCTGTGGGAGCCCGCTGACGAATATGATGCAGAGGGGTAACCAACATGGGTTTATAACAGGCAGGTCCTGCCTGACTAACCTAGTTTCTTTTTATGACAAGGCCCCCAAATGTTTAGATGCAGGAGTCAAGGTGAATGTTATCCATCTGGACTTCAAGAAGGCCTTTGACATGGTATCCCATACCATCCTTATAAATAAGCTGAGGAGATTTGCCTTGGATAACTATATTGTAGACTGGGTAGCAAACTGGCTCAAGGGTCACACTCAGAGAGTGGTGGTGGATGGGTCAGTGTCAACCTGGAAAGATGTGTGCAGTGGAGTCCCTCAGGGCTCAGTTCTGGAGTTGGTGCTGTTCAACATCTTCATCAGTGATCTGGATAAAGGGGAAGGAAGCACCCTGTCCAAGTTCATGGATGACATAAAAATATGGGGTGAAGCTAACACCCTGGAGAGGAACCAGATCCAGGCTGACCTCGACAGGCTGAGGAAGTGGGCAGAGAGCAACAGGATGCAATTCAATAAGACAAGTGCAAGTTGCTGCATCTAGGGAGAAAGAACTTCCACCATACCTATGGGCTGGGGGGCAACCTACTCAGCACCACTGAGGCACAAAGAGATCTTGGAGTCACTGTTGATTCCAGGATGAACATGAGTTGTCAATGTGATGAAGTAGTTGGCAGAGCCAGTCACACCTTCTTGTGCATCCGTAGGTGCTTCACAAACAGGTCCAGGGAGGTGATTCTCCCTCTCTATGTGGCACTGGTCAGGCCACAGCTGGAGTACTGTGTCCAGTTCTGGACACCGCAGTTCAAGTGGAATTCAGACAACCTGGAGAGAGTCCAAAGAAGAGCCACTCATCTGATTAGAGGCCTACAGAGAAGGCCTTATGAGGAAAGGCTAAGGGACCTTAACCTCTTCAATCTCTCCAAAAGAAGGCTGAGAGGGGACCTTGTGGTGGCATACAAATTCATAAAGGGAGAGAAACATGAAGTAGGCAATGATCTGTTTACCAGGGCACCCCCTAGAACAACAAGGAACAATGGCCATAAGCTACTGAAGAGTAGGTTTAGACTGGACATTAGAAAAAAGTTCTTCATGGTCAGGGTTGCCAGGATCTGCAATGGGCTTCCAAGGGAGGTGGTACTCGCCCCATCCTTGGGGGTCTTCAAGAGGAGACTGGACAGGCACATGGCTGGAATCATATGATCCCAGGTTTGGTGACCCTTCTCTTGCCTGCCAGGGACAGGGGGTTGGACTAGATGGCCGACTGAGGTCCCTTCTGACCCTAGAATCTATGAATCTATGCATCAATCAGTAGTATCTCTAATTAGGGCTGACAAATGATTAAATTGCAATGGCAAGATTTAAAAAAAATAGTTGCAATTAATCACAATTTTAATTGCATGGCTAAACAATAGTCAGCATCCCCCCCCCCACAACAGCCCAGAGCCTGTGCACCCAGCAGCTCCTCCCTGCCTCCACCAACAGTGCACAGCCCAATGTCCCAACCCTAATTTGCCCCACACCCACTCTGGACTCACTCAGGCCAGAGTGGACCAGCTGGAACCTGTGCGAACAACCCCAACCCTGGCCCACCCCACGCCTGCTCCAGACTCACCCAACCACTCGGAGCAGTGGCAGCAGTGATGGCCAGGCAGAAGCTGCTACTCAGTGCAAAGGAAAAGAGGCCCGTCCCCCTCACCGCTGCAGAGACCTTTTTGCTGCAGCCTCCCGGAGCCCACACACAGGCTGCCCTGCCACCACTGCACCACTGGGTGGCCCAGAGGTGGTGGTGATGGCAGCAGAGAGATGCTGCAGGACAGCCCAGGTGTCAGTTTTGAGTGGCTGCAGCAAGAAAGGCCCAGCACAGCAGTGAGGGAGAGGAGCCGCTTTTCCCCTGTGCCAATCAGCATCTTCTGCCTGGCCACCACCACTGCTGCTGCTCAGCATGGGCAGGTGAGCCTGGAGCAGGCATAGGGCTGGGGTTGTGTGTACAGGTTCCAGCTGGTCCAGAACTGGTCTGCTCCACTGGTTAAAACGATGTGCGCAATTAATGTGATTTTAAAAAGTAATGCATTAATTCGTTTTTGCTGTAATCGCGTAAGTTAACTGCAATTAACTGATAGCCCTAATCCTAATTAAGGGCTCCTTATTTCAAAATACCCCAAATGAACTCCAAGACCTTCTTGATCGCTACTGGAAGCCTTCTTTGGTCTGGCTAAATTCATGTTCCACTTGTTCATTCAACTGAAATGTTTCGTTCACCTACTTCTTTATTATACCAAGATAAATCTGGCATCTACTCATCCTAATGTGATTGACTACTTGTGATTCTGCCTACTGCAACAACAAAAATGTGCTATTGTGGGTCAAAAGTGGAAACATGAAAGGAAGGAAAGAAAAAAGATATTGGGTAAGAGACTAATGTCCAGCTAGGAAACAGAAGTCCCTATTAAAGCAGGAGGTACCTGAGAAAGGTTATGCAGTATGTTTTACTCATGAACTAGAATGCTAGCGGGGAGGGGGGTTTGTTTGTTTGTTGTTTTTTGTTTTTATAGGGACAGATTTATGCATGTCAACACTTCCTTTTTTTAAATCCAGACTGACTTGAATTTCAACAACTTTTATCAAATTATTTTTATAGAACAAAAAAAGACATGCAGTAAACAGAACAAAAATAAGAAAAAACAAATACTGAATCATATCTGATCCCAATATGCAGAGATAATTTTCACCATCTGCTTACTAAGTAGTTTGAATTGCGTACAGAGTTTATTTTATCTGTGTGTGTGTGTATTGACATACTTTAATAGATTCAAACATTTGTTTTTAATAATCTATATTAAGGGATATATATCAAATTATATGTGTGGGTGAGTGTTGTTTATTATAGGATATATGTGTGTATTTTTCAATTAGATACTCCTTATCAATGGACCTTTTTTTTAGCTCTGCTAGATTAAATAGCAAAGATTCCCTTGTCTTCAATTTAAGTAAGGCTGAACACTGGTGAAGCAATTACTTCTAAAATTAGCTAGAATCATTGAAAGACAAAAGAATCATGGTTAAATATGTTCAAGTAAAGTAAAAACATAGGTTTGAGTATCATAAAATCTTCTTGTAAGTCTAGTTACATTTTGTTATATTGTTTAATAAAGGAAGGGCTGAATCTATTTTATTATTTCCAGACAGAGACGCATCAAAGGGTTAGTAAAATATTTCATGCATAAATGTCAGTGAGATACATGTTCCTCACAAGTAATAGGAGTGTTCTGTTGTTTCCATTCCTGACCTACCAATTCCTCAAAGAGAAATTTCAAGAAAAACATGCTAGAGTCTGATCCCCACACCATTGAAGTCACTGGGAAGAGTCCTATGCAGTTCAGTGGGGTTTTTATCTGCCTCTTACGTGTTTTTTCAGTGTTTAATACAGTGTTTAATTACGTTTTTAATGGTTTATTCTTCTTTCTTTTAAAAATATTTGAAAAACATTAAAGAAATTGTAGGATCGCCAGATCTTGTCACCACAGTTTAGAGAAGGCAGAGCAAGGATGGCACCTTAGAGACTAACCGGTTCAGAAAAAAACATATGGTTTTGTAGGCAATGGCCTGCTTTGTCAGATCTGATTAAGTAGACTGTCACCAATGAGACCTTCGGCCTTTCTGAACCATTAGGTCTCTACCCCTGCTTTGCTTTCAGCCTGACATCAGACTAACACAGCTACCTCTCTCTCTCTCTAAAGACGTCTGAATTGCACAGCATTGTGGGCAGGCACAGGATTATTATGTTTAGAATTTTGTAATCATTTCATTTAAAAATCAAATGAGTAAAGAGATCATTTTCTACACATAAAATATAGAAAATTTCTAAACGTCATGTTGAGGGGAAAATTAAATGAACCATTAACAGAAGAGAGACAAGGGACTGTAGCCCACGGCATAGGCATTTCGCTCAAGGAACTGAGGCTGTAGCCCTGACTGTAATACTGAACGACTTAGAGCAAGTCATTTCACTTCTTTATGTCTCCTTTTCCCCTCATACCATTTATCTGTCTCTCCTAGGTAGACTTAGTCTTTGGTGCAGGGAGTGTTGATACGCTCATAACACAGCCAGGCCCCAATCTTCTTTGGGGCATCTAGAATGCCACTCTAATACAAACAACACCAGATCATGGTCAGATATGTACCACCTTTGCTTTTTTAATGCAGATATCCAGCAGCACAATTCAGGATAGACAAACATTTTCCTAAAAGCCGGACATAGAATTAAGAAGTAAACGCTTCCTCTGTGATGCCCTACGTCACCTATTTTAATTAGTTAAAATAAGAGCCAAAGCTCTGAATTTTAAAGGAGATTTAATTTGGCATACTACCCTCTATACCTGAAACTCACAGAAAAACAAAACAGTTCATATTTTTTAAACCAAAGATATTTTTTCCCTTAGAACAATCCTCTTCCCTCCATGTAATCACATTTTAAATGTTCCAGATCCTAACCAGTAAAAACAAACAAACAAAAAACAGTGCTGCTGTAAAGTTGATCTGCATGACAAACCAGGTAGAATTGCTATAGGAGCAGCCTTCTATTAAGATTATGCCATATTTGCCAATATACATTGCAAACACAGAAGACAGCATTTTAACAATATACCCAAACTCTGTGGCCACTTTTTTCTTTTTTTTTAAACCAATTTAAGTTTTTCCCAAAGGAGATTCTTGTGGTCACATAACCTACATATGTAAGATTATCTTGCTTAATAGTGCTAATAATTTTCCTGCTTGCACAAGTACTATTTAGAAGCTTAAGCATCCAGATCATTGATTATTCTAGCCCCTCGAGAGCCCTGTTACCAACTTCCCATACACAATAAATATATTTTTGCATTACTTAGCTAAATGTAATATATTTCCTCAAAGGGGAAATATATCAACCACTGAGCCACTCATTCCTACTTACCTACTCCCTGTTTCCACAGTCCTGTAAATGAAAGTGCATAGAAGCTTCTGTGCTTGGTTCAAAATCCTAATGATTTTTAAACAGGCACATTTTTGTTTTGCGTTTTTAGGTTTAGCAGAAGCCTATAGTGATAACAGGCAGATTCCAGGCTTGGGCTCATCTCTTCCTTGGCTCAATGCCCCAATGGACAAGGATTACTCATTAACAATTCTTTCTTTGCAAAGCCAACTATCTAAACATAGATTTCAAGTATTAAAATGTTGTGAACCCCAGAATGTCAGAGCAGAGACTTGAATAATTACTAGGCACTACAAGGAAAGCGGGGAGAGGGAGAGGGATGGCAATCATCTTCTAAACTAATACAGTTCAAGCAGTTGTAAAAATGCATTGTGAAGATTGACCATTGTGTTGTTCTGCTATACATAGATATGAAGCTGTACCTCCTAGCCTTCCATTTGAGGAGTCCTCAGCATGTTCAGTTGGAGACTGGAGTTCCATGAGGGCCATGCAACTTCCCAATGATACTTCTGAGTTATTTGCATATTTCTCAAAAAGAGCAAAAAAGAACAGATCGTATATTACTGCACTTTAAGGAGACTAAGACAGTGGATTAGAACTCAAGAAATCTGAGTCCAGGTCCAAAATCTGCCATATACTTCCTCAATGACCTTGAGCAAAGGATTCAAATGTTCTGTCTACGGTTTTCCATCTGTAAAATGGGGATAATATTTTCTTGTCTCATGAAGATAAATGTATTTGTTAAGGACTGCCAAGAGCTCAGATAGGTTGCAGGTTCCAGGTATTCAGTAAAAGAGAGGGCCCAACAAGTTGTTAGCCCTGACATGTGAATGTATTTCTGCTACACACGTTGTCCCCACCTTCTGTCAGTATTTGCCCTGACCAGTCAAGGAATGTCTGCATGTGTATGCACGTGGTATCTCCCACTCTATGAAACAATGGCATTGAAAGCTAGATATTCACAGGCAGGCTTCCTGCTGCTGAAACATTGCAAAGAGAAGGCAGAGCCTCATATATTACTGGAGAAGGAAGGGAGCCCTGAATTTAGTTACAATGGTTTTCCCCTTTTGCTTTTCCTTATTTATTTAATAGGGGTATTTTCCTACCTTCCAAGCTGCTATGTCTCCACACTATGAACCCTCACTTCATTCCAGATATAGCAGCAGAGCAGTTAAAACATCTTATGACAGCTCAGGAGATGTTAATTTGAGCCTTGTTCTGGACTCATGCTAAGGCCATCTTCCCAGTTAATACTGCTGTAAATTGGTACCTGATCAAGATGATGGCCCTATAGGTACCTTGTGTGCCATTAGCTCCAAATATTTGTGCTCAGTAACCAGACTAGCCTAGTGACCCAATACTGGTGCACTCTAACCAAACTAGCCCACTGACCCAGTAGGTTTGGGCAGATCTTTGACCTCCTATCCCCATTCCATCACCTTGCAGGATTGGACCCAAATGTCTGGTATTGCAGAATAGCTATAATTTAAAGCTAGTTAGCAGCCTTAGTATCACAAAAGGTTCCCTGCACCATGTAACATACTCAAAAGCTGTTCTTTAGCTAGCTAATAACAAAGGAACTGGACTTAATGGCCCCATTCACTTACAATTGCTTCATTAAAATATTTTCCTTGTCTCTATAATAAATCGAGATGAATTTGCCAAAGTTGTGCTTCAGCAACCAATCAATATTTTTGTAACATTATCAGACAAAGCAAAGCAAGTATCTCCAGGATCAAAGAAACTGTTGCCCGTAGCAACTACATGTAGAATTACTAGTTAATCAAGCCAGGTGTTCACATTTTATTGTGGCTAGATGTGCAAATGAAAATCAGACAGAAACAGACTTAGAGGAAATCAAGTCAGTCACCTATAATAAGACGAGGTGTTTTTCAAAATGTTGGAGGTGGGAGTGATTTCAAATCCATCTATTCACAAATAGGACATCTTCATTTAAATAGTTTTGTGTGTGGTAATTTCAAAAACTCTTCACACAGTGAATAACAGGAAACAATATTACAAATAGATACATAACTACAAGATAGCTAATGGTCTAAAACACTCCCCAGTTGATTAACAGTGATAATACACCTCCAGCTCATTCAGGTGATGAATACTGTATTTCAAAAATTAGTTGAGGCACAGAATTCTCTCTACATTTGTCTTCAACAACAAGGAAAGTTGATTATTATGAAATAAGGAAGGCCTTGTAAACAGAAGTCCATGAAGGAGTAATGAGATTTCAATCTCTTCTTGAAACTGCAAAGTCTTGTATAAAATAGAACAAGAGAAAATGTTTCAGTCATGCTGAAGTTTCTATTCCAGGTTTCTATTCCATTTACAAAGTGCGTAAGTGGACTCAGGTGCCTAAATGCAATTCTACTCTACCACAATCAAGACCTTGAGAAACTGTTAATATAAATGGGTGATGGTATGTTACCAGAAAAGAGGCATTAATAGATTTTCAGCCACATGAACAAAGTGGCATACAATTACAGTTAGGTGATCAAAACCATGCATGCCAAAAACATGCCCTACAGATCTCCTGGAGGAGCCCAGATTTCAGCAGTAGTGCGAAAAGCAATGACATTAGCTCCCACCAACATATAGCCTTTTGCCAATACAGAGTTTCCATATATGAATTTGAAAAATAATTAGTTAGGATCCTGTGTCTATTTATAATCCTGTTTGTTGTGCTTAACTGGCTAACGCCTTGCTGTTTATAGATGTTGGGATTCAATCCTCGCCCCACTGAAGTCTGTGGCAAAATTCAGAATTTCACCCCTGTCTTTATTAAATTAAACTTCAAACATGGCTTATTGTACACCTGAGAATTTTGAGATTACGGTCCAGGTACACCTCTAAGAGGACAAACTATGCTGATACCTTATGGAATTTGGTATTTGAATGTAAAATATGGAGATACGTAAAATACAGTACTTGGAAATGAGTGTCACTCAAGCAAGTTGTGCAAGTACTAAAATGACTGCACAGTAACTGGTGTTACTTGCATTAGCAGGTACTAAATGACTGCACAGTAACTGGTGTACTGCACAGTAGCATCCCTGCAAGGGTTTTTTCAGATGCTTATAGATTGATTCATAGATTGTAAGGGGCTGGAAGGGACCTTGTGCATCATCAGGTCCAGTCCCCCTGCACTAGGCAGGAAAAGACAACTGGGGTCAGGTGTCCCCAGTGAGGTGACTATCCAGTCTTCTCTTGAAGATTTCCAGGGTAGGTGACAGCACCACCACTGGAGGGAGTTTATTCCACAGTCTGGACACCCCGACAGTGAAGGAGTTTTTCCTGGAATTGAGCCTTAAGAGGCCTTCCAGGAGTTTTTATCCATCACTCACGGTCTTCCCTAGGGGTGCCCTGGTGAACAGGTGTTCACCGAGTTCTTGAGGTACTCCCCTGATTTAGCAGTAAGCCGCTACCAAGTCCCCTCTCAGCCTTCTCTTCTGTAGGTTG